CATGACTGGCCTAATGTCTATTAAACTCTTTATTGCAATGCCGTGGTCTTTCTTTGTGCAGCAGGTAGGAAGAACCCCTCAGGCAGTGACTCTACTATTCCCCTTATTTAATCAGCAGCAAGAGTGTTCACTGCATTGTGTGAAGATTTTTATAAGCAAAAGTACCCAAAGAAGTAAAACCTTCATTTCTCAGCTTCTGAGTTTTAAAATAGAAATTTGAAACTCACAGGAGAAAAAATAATTGAGAAAAAGGGTTTTGAGTGTAGGGAAAAAAGTGACTTTAAGTATCCACAATCAGAGGCTTAAAGGACTCAGGGCATTAAGATTACTGTGTGAAAAATTTAGAGGATGTACATGGAAATAAGAGCCAGTTTTTCCACTCCCAAATAGGTACAGGGCCTACACCCCAAAGGCAAGTGGGGACATCAGAGGAGTTGGTAACCAACCCGGAGAAGGTGTCCTGAACCTACCCCACTGAGCTGAACACCAAGGGCTGGGATTGGGGCTGGAAGAACAATAGCCAAGGGTCAGGGATGGGGATGGAAGAACAACAGAATTCTCAGGGATGTGAAAGCAGAAAACATGTGTCTCACTTCCCAAGGTCCCAGCCAAGACCCAAGACACACCTGAGGGGTTTCAGCGGAAGGGTGGGGAAGTAGCTTACAGTGCTGATGAGCCTAAAGATGCCTTATAGTTGGAAGAACGAAGATGCAAAGTGACCCATGAAAACTGTAACTAAGACCACAAGGAACCCTAAATATCACAGCAATGTCAGAGTCAATGAATGACAACACCCAGACCAGGAGTCACCTACCCATTAGCACCGACATTGTGAAAACCTTCCTGAAACTTTTAGGTAATCCTGGGAAGAGGAGAGAAATTACTGATTTGACAGAATTTATATTGATTGTCCAATAAGAAATCAGTTTTACAAGGTCAAATGCAGGCATAGAAATGAGATTATGCTGAGTCATCGAAATATAAAGATAATCATATCTATATCTATCTCTGTGTGTGTGTGTGTGTGTGTGTGTGTGTGTGTGTATATATATATGTGTGTGTCACACCTCTGTTTGTAGCCTGTGAAATTTCAGGCTGCTACAAAAGTCTAGCAAAACCATTGATTTTTAAAATTAATTAGAAGAAAGCTACAAAGTAGAGAAAGGCTTGCAGAGAGAATGCCAACTTTTAGCTTCACGAGATCAGACCCTCAGAATACTGGCCCCAGTAATAACCCAGCTAGAAATAATTAGAGTACACAGAAAAGTAAGTGATTTTGATCTCAGAATCCCGGAAGGTAACCTTTAAGTAATCAGCTTTTAGAACAGGCTGTTCTGAAGATCAGAAGCACCAAGTGAGCAAGCAAATTGACAATCCTGAGCAGTAGCTAAATGAGCAAAAAGGTTGCTAAGGCTATGGAAGGGTCCAGTATAAGGTGGTTTCTACTTATTTTTTTTACTCAGTAGGAAAAATCAAGGTCAAAATTGAGTAGTAGTTAAAAATAGTTTAAATTTAGTACAGAAGATGTCACAGTAGTTATGTTTGTTTCTCAATATGGGTTAAATTTTGTCTTACATTTTGTGTACAAATATTAATAATTAGAAACATTTTGTGTTTATGTTATTTTAAGATAGGTTTATATAATGTGTACATAAATAAATGAAATAGACACATTATTAATATATTACATATTATGTGATATGTCATTAAGTATATAAATTAAAAGAATATACATATATACATAACAAAATTATACATATGTATTCCTACACTTCATTTAACATTTCTTTGGTTAACCTTGTCTAGAGTGAGCCTAACTATTTGATCTACCCAGTCCAAGTCAAACAGAATAACACAATAAATCAAATTAAATGGCATACGTGCTGAGCTATACCTCATATGTATAATGAGTTCCAAAAACATTGACTCATATGTATAATGAGTTCTAGAAGCACTGACTGGTCTAAACATTGACTAGGTTCATTTTTCAATATGGGTTGAATTTTAGCTTAAATTTTCTGCACAAATATTAATAATTAGAGATGTTTTGTATTTAGGTTATTTTAATACAGGTTTATATAAACAAAATATAGACACATTCTTAATATAGTATTACCTATTATGTGCTATAATATCACTTGGTATATAAATTAAAAGAATATATATATATATATAACAAAATTACACATATGTATTCCTACACTTTGTTTAACATTTCGTTTAACCTGGTCTAGGGCGAGCCTATTTTATCTACCCAGTCCAAGTCAAGCAGAATAATAACAAATCAAATTAAATGTATATGCTGAGCTATACCTCATATGTAGAATGAGTTCCAGAAGCATTGACTAGACAAACTGCTCACTCCTCAAGAATACACAAAAGAACAAGATGCTAGAATGTGAGAGGGTCAAGTTGAGCAATTCAACTGACAGGAGAGATGATTTATTGAGCAAGGTCAACAAAGTGTCAAGGCCAATGACATAATAGTGGATGGCAAACAGAGAGGTGAGTGGGATGGCAAAAAGAAAGCACATTCTCAGACAATGCAGCAACTGTATGCTACGTCAAACTACAGGGCAACAAAGTAAACTTCAATGTCACATACCAGTGTGATGAATGTCCACACATCGTTTCCTGGGCACACTTCCATAAACTATTGAAAAGCAAAATTTTCATCATTGGTGCAATTGCCCAGTTTCCAAAATAGTACCTGATACAAAGTAGGATTTGCATTAAACCTAATTCAACTTTAACTGGGATTGATTTATTTAAATTTCTTTTTTGAAAGTTGCAGATAAGAGCTAAAGGGAGAGCCAGAAATGAAGAATCTAACTCATAATGCTTCATTCTGTGAAAATATTTTCCTACTTTATAGCCAATTATAAGACAGAAGAAGATCATGCTTCCTGAATCTGCATTTTTGTCCAAGAACTGTTCTATTATTAAGCTATCAGTACAGATTTAGAGTGATGAAAACATCCCTCAAAGCTTCCTCTACTCGGCACATAGACTTTGAGCATAACAGTCAACTGGAGCCATCAGGAATCTAGCTCACAATATGTAATTTGGTTTGGCTGTCCTCCCACCCAAATCTCATCTTGAATTGTAGCTCCCATAATTCTCAAGTGTCATGGGAGGGACCTAGTGAGAGGTAATTGAATCATAGGGGCAGGACTTTCCCATACTGTTCTCATGATGGTGAATAAGTCTCACAAGATCTGATGGTTCTATAAAAGGGAGTTCCCCTGCACATGCTCTCTTGTCTGCCACCGTGTAAGACATGACTTTGCTCTTCATTTGCCTTCTGCCGTGTTTGCTAGGCCTCCCCAGCCATGTGGAACTGTGAGTCAATTAAACCTCTTTCCTTTATAAATTACCCCATCTTAGGTACATCTTTATTAGCAGTGTGAGAGCAGACTAATGCAATATGCAACCAAGAGATCTTTGCATAACTCCAAAAATTCTGCAATTTGGAGAGAGGCATATTACTAGAACCAAGGCTCTGACTTACTAAAAAGCCATCTCTTATCTGGAGGGAACTGTGTTTCTCTGGGTCCCTGAGACCAGTGGTCTCCAAAGTGAATGTGAGAACACTTGAAGGTAGGACAGCAATCAACATCATTGATTGAGATACAGGAAGAAGTAATTATAACTTCAATCTACCTTTATTTTTATCTTTAAAATAGAAGACAAAAATTGGGGGGTTAAATAAGAGGGTGTTAATAATTAATACAAAGCTTGATGGTATTACCTGTATGTCATTTAATATTGAGGGCATGTGTTAGAAAATATTTTTTCAGTATAGGGGCAAAAAATCAAGAACATGTGAGGACCACTGCTTTAGACTTTACCAGTAATACCTAACAGTCATAAGGAAAAAGGAGAAACCACGATTGCTTTAACACCTTCTATGCACCAGATGACAGAATAATATGCTTTATGTCTTTGAATTCCCACCATAACCCAATGAGACAGATATCACTATTCCTGTTACAGAAGTGAGGAAATAGAGATTCAAGAAAGCTAAATATCTAGCTCTAGGTCACAAACCTGGCAGATACTGGTGATGGGATTAAACTCTAGTCTTGTTCTTTTCCTTACTCCACAATATCTAAAGAACTGCCGCCTCTGAAACTAGCATTTACCAAGGTACTCAAGCCTGCAGAAACTGCTCGTGTTCTTAACAAAAGCTTCCCATGGTAAAGCACATGTGGTAAACTCTTACACTATAAATAATTGAGGTGGTAGAATGTCCCTAATGATGTCCCAAAGTCCATGCAACACAGTAAATACTGTGAGGCATTATATGACTCATAAAAGGTATCCTTATTACTGAAATAATGAATATGAATCCAGAGTACCCTATTTAGTAGAGAAGATAAACCCTCAATGGATGGGTTATACAAATTTGGTAGATATTAAAAATGTGTGTGTGTGTGTGTGTGTGTGTGTGTGTATGAGAGAGAGAGAGAGAGAGAGAGAGAAGAGAGAAGTGGGGAAATAGAGACAGAAAGAGGAGAGAGATACCACAAAGAAAGGCTTAGCCAATCATCAACAAAGTTCAGAATTATGTAAAGAATAGAGATTCTAAGTTCTCTCAGTCTCCAACGTTCCCTATCCATTTTTTTTTTTTTTTTTTTTTTTTTGAGACGGAGTCTCGCTCTGTCGCCCAGGCTGGAGTGAGCGGCAGGATCTCGGCTCACTACAAGCTCCGCCTCCTGGGTTCACGCCATTCTCCTGTCTCAGCCTCCCGAGTAGCTGGGACTACAGGCGCCCGCCCCCTCACCCAGCTAGTTTTTTGTATTTTTAGTAGAGACGGGGTTTCACCGTGTTAGCCAGGATGGTCTCGATCGCCTGACCTCGTGATCCGCCAGCCTCGGCCTCCCAAAGTGCTGGGATTACAGGCACGAGCCACCGCGACCGGCCTGTTCCCTACTCTTTTTACCCTATGAAGTTGTAAGTGGTCAGAAAACACGTGTGTAAAATATTAGTGCAGTTACCTTTGTCAGTTTCATTTCCAGAACATGACTGCTGTGGATCCGACTGTCGAAATGAGCTACTTCTTTGGAAGAGGACTTAACCTTGGCAATGATCTTTACGTAGGAGAACACGATCACAGCCGTTGGGAGCAAGAGGCAGAAGAAGAGGATGTTCAGGATGAAAACCTGGCCCCCTACCGAGGCCTGGGCCAGCCACCAGTCCAGGGTGCACGAGGTTCCAAAGGGCTCAGGTGCGTAGTCCCCCAGACCTACCAAGGGCATGGTGGTCCAGAAGGAAGCATAGGCCCAGATGGCTGCCAGGCAGATGTAGGCGTGTTTTCTTTTCAGCCAAACCCCTGGAGGCGGAAGAAAAGCATTACCCGGATGTAATCTGCCCTACACCCAGATACCTCCCCTCGATATGTCAAATTCCACCTCCAAAGATTTATTCCATTGATTTCTGGGAGACCTGGGCAGATAACTGAAGCCTGAGGGAGAGTGGAGTAAACGGAAAAAAGTTCCAGAGCTTGGGCCTTTCTCCAGGAGAACACAATTGGAAGGTTTTCTCTAGGCATCTGGGAGCTTTGGGAGGGAGAAGTGACAACAGCTGGGAAAAGGGACAGGAAAGAGATGAGAGGATGCTGAAGACAATGGAGGCCCTTGAGAAAACATCTCGGAAAGGGTGTGTTAGTGGATCATCCAGGGAAAATCCTTCTGGGAGGTGAGGAATCACAGAACATGGCTTGTATCTTTAAAATGCCCTTCCTCCTAACAGCTTTTGTGTTGCTAGTCTCATCTGGCTTCCTAAGAACTTGTGGAAGGGGCTTGGTGGCTCGTGATCATTACACAAATGGTTTGAGATTAAAGTGCTTGACTGTGTTTAGTAATTTGTGGAGCAGGTTTGGAATCTTCAAACATCATTCACACAACAATCGCACTCACACAGCCACAGCGGGAGAGGCAGAGAATCTAGGTAGGTTGCATCATGTTCTGCAAAGTAATTCTGTGAAGATATTTTCAGGAAGACAAAAAATGAGCTCCGTTTTTCAGCACTAGTTTCTGTTAACCAAAAGAGAATTCCAAGCGGAGGAAATAGTGCAGTCATCTAAGAAAAGCTGTAAAGCACTAGTGATCATTTTCAGAGTTCAACACAACCACCAAAGACAGATCGGCCTGATTAAGTGCAGCAGCCTCCACAAGAAATTACCTTCACACCTCACTCATCACCTCAAACGAAGAGGGCCGGGAAAGTGACTCTTTACTGCCTAGGTTTTGTGTCAGCAGAGAAGAAATATCAAAATATATTCAATAAAAGCTAAATGCTTACTTCAATATAGACTGAGAGCCTGCCTCTGCTTAGTGCAATGTGAGGTTTGGAAAGTCAGTAAGGCCTAATTCTTCTGTGTCTAGTCTTTGACTGACCTGGTGCATGCAAGACTATGTTGCATATGGGTTAAATAAAATAATGTAAGGGGCCTGCTTTGCACACTAGAAGGTGCTACATTAACGTGAAAGTTTTACTCCTGTGTAAGTATATCTCATTTAGCACTAACAAGAAATATAACACATTGTTTCTATACTCTGTTGTCTCCATTTTTTTTCAAATATGTGGCATTTTGTGTCATGAAATGCAAATTTCATGCCCAACCAGATAGGGGTAGCAATCATGTAGCCACATTATAACTCAGCTCTTGCTTCTCCACTAAAACCAATGAAACATTGGCACAGGTAATCACATATATTCATGGGAATGTGCATAGGCATACGTATAAGCATTTATGGTTAGGGTTACTTGTGAGGTGTTTTATACTTACATTCCAGTATGGTGAAAGGCTGTCAAGTACAGGAGGGAGTAGATTAGTAGATTGGTTCTGTGTTGCTCCAGAAGTCAGAACTAGGACCAATGGGTGGAGGTTACTGGGAGGCAGTTTTGTCTTAATATAAGGAATAACATTGTAACAATGAGAGCAGACCAATCAGAGAATGGGCTGCCTTGTGCAGTAGTAAGCTCCCCGTCACTGGTCACTGGAATTATTCGAGAAGAGGCCAAGTGGTCGTCTCTCAGGGATGCCTTAAAACAGTTTACCACGTTACATGGGAGAAAAGTCTACACGTCCCCAAGCGACCTTCTAATTCCAACATTCTGGGACGCTGTGTGGAGGGTTTAATAGTGCATCAGATTAAATGATGAAACCACACTACTGAGGTTCAACCTTAGAAGAAGCTGGAAAACATACACAGTTCCCACATATGGAGTTACGGCCTGCAATGATCCTGGGAGTGGGCGGCATCATCTCTTTAATTGACAAAGCCTAAACTCAAGAAAATATTTAAAAACAGAGGTATCAGGGTTTAGTATTCCTCAAACACTCTCAGGAAGTTTAACTATTTTGCCTTCTTATCTATAAAATCGACAGTTAAATCTAAAATCTCTTTGGTATGAGCGAAAATAAGTCTATAGAAAGGATTAGATGTTGACGTCACACAGAATATGTATAGTTGTATATTTTATATCCTACTGGAAATTTTGATTCAAGCTATTTCTATTGGAAGTTTTAAATGTTTAAAAAAGGAGATGTAAATTTAAAAAAAAAAAAAAAGTAGTGCTGGATGATGAAGAGGATGGCTCACAAGCTCCCACCTCCCACCCACCCAAGAAGGGATTCTTTAGAGTTTGGGGAATGTAATCTATAACAATATAAAGGGAAATTCTACTACATTGACAGTGTCGGGTCAACTTGATTTTTCCCATCTCAGTCTCCAGGCCCTGCTCTGACACCACAGTCTGTCGCCCGTCACAACCACTCTAATCGACAGATTGACAATCAAAGCAGCTTTATCCAGAGGAAGCCTGTACTATTCCTTGGTTTGTGCCTGGTTCTCAATATTAAACTTAAAGGCCCAAATGCAGTTCTCTCAGGTTTAATAAATTCCGAGAGCTCCAAGAAACAAAAGTGTTAGAAATTATTTTTAACCTGTAGAATGGTCTAATCATTAAAAAACATATATTTAGGCCCTGGAAACTTATATTCTGCTGATTCACCAATTCTTGTAATCACTCATCTTTCTACCAACCAACGCTACAAAAAAAAAATATGTTGAGGGATATTTCTACATGTGTGTCCTTGCATGCAGAAACAGCTACATGACTCTAACTTGGAGGTGAACTTTCTGGAATTCCTTATCTCTGAAATTACAGGGAGCAGGAGTCCTAAGGGAGAATCTTAAACAGCTTTTCTTACAATTACACTTACTAGGTGGGGAATGAGCTAAACATCTTGGACTTAACACCCTTTCGATGCACTTTATTTCTTTTGTTTGCATGAAAAACATGATAGAAGCTTACACGCTCTACAAGAAAATGATACTTTTTTAAAGCATTGTAACCAAACACCAGACATTACTATAAAATACGTATTAAAAGAAGTCTACTTTGACATCGGTTAAAATCCTTAAACATGTCAGAACAAGATGATAGGCTATAAATAGAAATATTCTTGATCTCTGAGGTTATTCATAATCTTTGTTTATTACCTGCATAAAACATGTACAGTTCTAACACTCAATCCACCTAGCTTTAACTATCAGGGAATGAGAAACCTGCCAACTTACCATAAGATAAATAGCAGATTTTCAAATATCGATCCAGGCTGACAGCAGTCATGGTGATAAGGCTTCCACAGCCAAAGAAAAATCCAGCCCATCCATACCAGCGGCAGCCAATCCAGCCAAACACCCAGCGGTGGCAGAAGCAAGAGATGATGGTGAACGGCTTGCCTACAACTAGAGCACCAGGTGACTTGTCAACAGAGGTTCCTCTGGTTACTATTTCCCCGCCTACCTCAACTCACCTGAACCTCCTCCCCTAAAGCACAGGGCACATGTGAACACACACACACACCCGTTCCTAGATTAATAAAAGTCCAGCAGTTATCTATGAATAAACTCAGTTTGGAGCTACCCAGAGAGGACTTTCAGTCATCCCAATAGCCAAGACAGTGAAAGGATATAGAAGGAAAACGTTTAAGTAAGTATTACTTTTGAAAAAACTGTCTCAAAGAGACCTGGTTTCAGGAGTTACAGACATGATACTAGTAGCCAGGGACAACGATCTTGTCACTTTTAACATTTTATTGCAGTCCTTCATTCGAAAGGCATAGAGAAAGGGGCAACATATAAAACCTCTGAGAGAAAATACCCTCTTCAAGCACAACTTTTCTGTTCTACAGAAGTTCTTTCTCACACTAGTCTGTTCCGATTTTTTCTTTTTACCAGAAATAGACGTTAAGTTTTATTAAATGCTTTTTCTGCATCTACTGAGGTGATCATAACTTTTTTGCTCATTGAATCGGTTAATGCTGGTTACTAATAGATTTGTTTTTGAAACATACTTACGTTCCTGGGACCAATGCAACTTTTCTTAATAATAAAACTCCCAGAAAATTGTCTCCATGAATAGAGGAAAGAAGAGATGGAGAAAGAGAAAATGAAGAAAAAGAGGAGAAAGACAAAAAAATATGCAAAATGGTGATTTACATCCACCTCATCTTCGTCCAAGTGGGATATTTTAGAACCAGTATAAAGCATGAGATTCCTTATAATGCAAAGGGGAATTTGGTTTCTGTTTTCTTTTGGCAGCTGCATCCTTCTAGCAGGAATATGGTTTCTAACACCCCAAGATAACCTTGTACTTTAGGAGTTAAGTGTCTGTGAATGGGGTTTGGGAGAGGAAAGAGAGAGGTTCTCTATCAGAGAAAGCCTTAATTAGAGAAGCAGGGAACTAACTGCTGTGAATATAGAAAAGGGGGAGGTTTAACAGCACTCTGGAGAATAAAGATTCTAAAGAGCACTGGAGAAAGAAGGTGTGAGTTCCAGACACATTTTAAAGAATGATGTGGACAACTTTCTCTGAAATGTGAATTTGTCCTTTTATTTATTTAAAAAATAGAACATATTTAGTCTTTTGCTATTTCCTTGTTATTATCAATGAATAAAAAGTGCTTAAGAAACCCCAGAAAGTTGAATATTCACAGGGAAGCAATAGGATGCGGGGAGGTGAAGTAGGGAGAATAATTATATAGCCCAGCAATTTTCATGTGTATTCCTGCCTAGACCCCAGAGGATTCATGGAGCTCTTCTACAAGAGAGTGAGAGAGGGAGAAAGAGAGAGAGAGTGGAGAGTACCCTGAAGGGGAAGTAGGTAGGTCATTTAGGGAAGGAAATATTAAGCACCCAAGGCTCCATGCTCCACCTTCTGTCAATCAGGAAAGATAATTTTTTCACCTGTTTTATATATTCAGCTTCTAAGTCGTCTTTTTCAAAAAAAATTTCAAAAAAAATTCACTTTTTAAAAAAAATTGTTTAGAAATTTTATTTAAAAATCCTTTTTGTTGAAGTTAGAACCAGATTTCCACATTTCCTTCTGTTTCAGTTATATCTTTCTTTCTTCTTAAGTTATGTCTTATTCAAATATGATATAGCTATTTCAGTAAATGTGAGGTCCAAGCTGTTTACAACCAGATCCAGATTTCCAGGATTTAAACTATTTATTCCTCAGGCCTCTATTAGAATTTTTTTTTTTTTTTACTTTCTAGAAAGCATTCTTCTACTTTTACATAATACCCTGTAGCCCTCCCTATTCAGTTATTGTATTCAGTCCCCCAAATAAAAAAAAATAATATGTGCTGAGGAAGCTCTTCAAACCTCTAACTGAACTACATCACAAAAGAAGGTTCCCTAACCTCAATGCTTTAGGAAAGCTAAGTAACTGATATTCACAGCCTCCAGGTGCTAGCGCCCAGCCCTCCCAGGTGTATTACTCTATGGTATACAAAAGTTTTCAGGAGTTCCTGTTAGTTCAGTCAATCAACACAAATGTACCAAGTGCCTTCTGCAAGCTGGACACACATCTCCTCTAGTTGTCTAGACGGCTAGTGCCACCTTTCAGCTTGCGAGACTGGGTGCCCTCATATGAGAGCCTCCTAATTCCAGTAAGTCCACAAGGAAATGGAGTGTAAAATAACTATTTGGGTTTGTGGGGTTTTTTCCCGTTCAACAACTAATTTTTCAATGCCTAGTGTTCAAGAAACACAGAGCAAGGTGCTAGAGGACAAAGTGGACATCAAGACTGACAAGTTTATTTTCTAACAGGAAAAGCAGACACACTCAAAAAAACCTAAATTTGTAATATAAGATGTGGTATGACAGAACGATAGGTAGTGATTAGTACAGCGAAGGAAAATAAAGCAGAGAAGGCAGGTAGACGGAAATCGTTGTTTTACGTAGAGACATTAGGGAAGACTTCTCTGAGATGTGACATTTAGGTAGATACCTAAATCGGTGGGAAAGAAGTCAAACAAACTTCTGGAGGGAAAGGATTAGAGGCAGAGGAAACAGCAAACTAAAAGGCTTGAGGTGGGTGTCAGCCAGGTGGGTGCTAAAGGCAGCAAAAAGGCAAGTGAACGTGACAGAATGGAGTAAAATTACATCTGTTATGCCTGGGATCCTGATTAGCAAAAGCGATTTCAAGCTTCCTTCTTCAGTAGAGCTTTGGATTAACCTTTGGGGTGTCATCTAGAATGTCTCTCTCTCTCTTCCGCTTAATAGAATGTTTCCGGAACCCAGTTGCACATTAGCATTGCTGGAGGGGTTGTTTTGCTTTGCTTTGAAATATCAGCATCCAGGGTTCCATCCCTCCCCACAAACCTCCCAATATTGTCACTTATCTGGAGCGAGTTCAGGCATTTTAACACCTCCCCCCGCCCAGGTTATCCTAATATAACACGACTTTCTCCTAAGAGGTTAGCCTAATATAACACGTGTATACAATATGCACGACTGGGAGCCCTTGATATTTAGTCAACAAGTATTAGTTGCATAGATGCCATACATCTGGCCTCTAGGAGGTGCTTATAATGGAATATAGCTGAGCAAGAAAAAAATAAAGCAGGCAAAGTTTTAAGGTTTATTGGAAGGGAAAATGTATTGTAGATGCTCAGAAGTTGAAAAAAATGATCTGGGTTAGAGAAAGCTGTTATATGAAAGAAAATGGTTTCTGGTGAATTACTCTGAAGACATAAGCAGAGTAATGAGGTGGTTTGTGCCATTCTAGAGCCGACTTGCTTGGCTGAAAGCATGTTTCAATGCATCAGGCCAATTAAGGACATTTTTATTCAAGCCTAGTCTAATTCAGCAATGAGCCTGCTATTATTCACCGATGAAGGAGGTGGCTGGAATGACAGGTTTCATTCAGGCATGTTAAACTCAATACCAGGTAGAGCACCTGAGGGGCCCGCGCGGCGAGCTGGCCGGGAAAGCTACCGTTCCTGTTGCGACACCGCCATCGCGTGGCAACGGGTGAAAATGGCAGCCATTCTGCAGCCTCACAAATCCCCTGGGGTTCGTCCTGATTGTTTTCACAACACCAGGCATGTCGTGTTCTTCTTAATGTGCATGTGCATTCATCATAAGGGTTCATAATGTTTATGCAGGTCCATACTCAGTAAAGCCTTCCCAGATAACCCAGACCATGGAAACTCTGAGTGAGCACACATCTGCTATGTGCTAAACTGTGACTCAGAACGCGGAGGATTAGTATTGAGCCTTGTTTTTAGAGATCGGCAGAAAAATCCACTTATGAAGAGAAAAACAAATATCAGAAAACTCTTTTTTTAAATTAAGGTCTCACTTTTTCACCCAGGCTGGAGTGCAGTGGTACTATCATAGCTCACTGCAGCCTTGAACTCCTGAACTTCATCAAGTCCCAGCTATTCTTTGTTCATTTGTTTTCTGTAGTTTTACCCAACACCCAGACTTCAAGGATAAATTTGTTTTGTAGAGGTAAAGTCCCACTACATTGCCCAGGCTGATCTTGAACTCCTGGCCTCAAACTTGATACCCAACTCAGCCTCCCAAAGCTTTGGGATTACAGGTGCAAGCCACTGTGCCCAGCCAGAAAACATTTTTTAAAGAAGGTTTTTGATGGGAAACTACTAACAAGTTTCTAATGGTAAGAGGAGCTGCTGTATACTGTTCAAACAGATTACCCGACTCTAATGACCTAAAACCAGAAGATAAAAGCAGGTGTTGGGATTCAAGGACAGATTAGAGTCGGTCTAAGCAACTCTGAATTTGTATAGAAGAAGGTGAAGAATGATTTACTTAAAATGGCTTGTATTTTTAAAAGTGAATTATGGTGAAGGAGAAATCTTATTCCAACTCCTCCTTGCCGTGTTATTAGAGAAGTGAAAAAGAAGCCAGTGGTTCTCAATTTTAGCCACACATTAACATACCTGTAGATTCTCATTTTAAATATCCTGATCCCCAGGTAACATTCTCAACCACCTAATTCAGAACTTCCCCAGATGATATTTTGTGAGTTGCGTTTGAGGACCACTGAACCAGAAGCTTGCTATGCTTCAGATGTGTCACTAAGTCATGATTACATATATCATCAGCAGGGCACTTCTTTCCTCTTCTTATATTCACCTCTCAGCTGTCTTCAACTGTCATTTACCCTTCAAGATTCCTGTTGATGTTTATATTAATCAGACTTCCATAAGGGTTGAAGAGGTGTAAAAAAGCTTAAAATATTGACCCGGGACTTCCCTCCTGATTTCTGGTTTCTGAATCATTTAGCCCACTACAGTTTGAGACATCTGAGGTATCATGTATTATTTCAAATTGTGCGTTCAGCATCTAACATGCCTGACACACAGAAAAGACTCAATAAATATTAAATGAATCGTCTTGTCAACCGGACAGCACCCCATTGATTTACCACAAAAGTCTGAAAGATGATTTGTGAAGCAAAGAGTGGAAGGAGATATGAAGGGAAGAGATGTCAGGGGTTGACGTCTGAGACAGTGAGTACTTTAGAATGGGGCAGAGTTTAAGCCCACAAAGAAAAAAACAGCATGGTTGTGTTACCTGAAATCCCCAGATCACAGACAGCTAAATTGATAGTCATTATTTCAGCGGGTCTCAGCTTCTTCTTTCGTCTAGAAGACATATAAAGGACATATCCATTTCCAAATGTAGACAGAATCCCTACAAGGAAAAATAAAAATTCCCATCGTTAACACTAGGATTTAGAGTTCACTCAGATATGAAACACTTCTCAACTTCAAAAATGGACACCATAGATTTAGAGGGTAGTGAGAGGACTCTAAATAAAAAAATCTAAATTAAGAAGATGAAGTAAAAAGCATGAGTTGTGAGTGACAGGCCAATGGGGCAGGAGTCAGGGATTATAAGACTGAACTTACCCAGAAAAAGGCATCGCTAACTTCCCCGCGAGGCTCAGGAAAGTGTGGGAGTCCCAATGGTCAGTTCTTGTCCTGGCCCCCAGGGGTGGAGTACTTTCCTCAGCCATTTTTATAGATCATTGGCTTTATAGAACTCCCTCCCTCTGATCAGTAGGGTTAAACCCTTAGCTCTTGATAAATTCTGAAGATGAAGCCAACCAAAGAAGGTGCCTTCAGCATCACTGTGAACTCCTAAGGGAGCGCCAGTGTTCAGGAGAGGCAGAGGCCAGGTATGGCTGGCGTAACTCCCTTCAAGAAAATGGACATCTCCCAGAGAAGCCCCAGGACTTTTGCCTCTTTGGGAGACACGGACACTGAGTGTCTGGCAGATAGGACAGCCTTCAGCTGCTACTGGACTAGACATCAAGGGTAAGTGGGTGACAATCGAGAACCTGGGCACTGTCCCTCCCACCAAGGGGAGAGAAAGTGACCCTCAACCCACCGAACCTACCAACAATGCCAGAAGTGTGTTCCCACTTTTTTCATATCCTTTTATTAATGACTAATTGCCTTTGGCATTACAATGAAACTGTTCGAAAGTTCTTACACACCCAGTTTAAATCCAAAAAGACCCAATCCCTACTGACTTTATTTAAGAAAAGAATACACCTACTTCCATAGCTTAACATGTAGAGTAGATTTTCTTCAGGAATTCTTGCTTCATAGTGTAGCTGTGTATAAATGAGAATCTGGTACAGCTGCCTTTAGTAGTAAGGAATAAGGAGAGTATTAACAGGAGAAACCCAGAGTTTGCTGTTTTAATTTCTACTTCTCCACCACCATTCATTTTGGGGGCAAAGAAAGAAATGTGTGATTCAGCTGATGGTGTGAAACCACCAGGAGCTAACTGCATTGTGCTCTTAGGAAATTCTGACTCCCTGGAGTCAGCACTGCCTAATGGTCCATTAAAACCTCTTTAGCTTTCATAGAGCAGAAGAAGAGAAAAGTAAAAGAGATTACGGAGTTCCAGAGCAAACCAACTATAATGAAACTTAGGGCTCACTCAAGGAAACCAGCTAGGAAAGCAAAATGAGAAAACGTGGCCTGAAAAATTATAAACTTAATGCCACCTACTTTGTATCCAAAAAGAGTGAAAACAAGTATCCATTTTCATTTGATACCCAAGGCTCATTGAAACACCTTTTATCTGTCTACCTCTCTTTTGAAAGTATTTGTTTTCTTACTTTTCCTTCCTTACATTTTCTTTACTGACCTTGCTTCATAAAGTTTTACCCAGTGCCCAAAGCATTATCAAAAAATAGTCACCTCTCTATTCATTACATGTAAATTATTCTGACAAGCAGTATGTTATAGATAAGTGTCAGGAGAAAGCAAATTTATTCTTAATATTAGTGAAAAGACAACCAGATTAAGAAGACAAAGACCCAAGTAGGGACACTTTTAGATGATAAAATCCTATCTCATTTATGGATATAAAAATGTCATATATATTAACTATTAATAAACTTAGTATTTATGATAATAGTAAAAGTGTGGACGGTAGAAAATGGGTTTGTAATTTATGTCTCCTGTGTTTCAAACTTAGATTTATATTGGTATATTTCAATTGTCTCTTAAGACTTCTAGTATTTAACAAAGCCCACCAAGAATGTTTAATCCACTCTGGCCTCTTAAAAGCAATCTGGACGCACACATGTTGGCTAGGCGCGGTAGCTCACGCCTGTAATCCCAACATTTGGGGAAGCTGAGGGGGGCAGATCACTTGAAGCCAGGAGTTCGAGACCAGCCTGGCCAACATGGCAAAACCCGTCTCTATTAAAAAAATACAATAATTAGCCAAACATGGCGGTGCGCACCTGTAGCCCCAGCTACTCAGGAGGCTGAGGCATGAGAATCACTTGAACTTGGGAGGTGGGGGTTACAGTGAGCTGAGATCGTACCACTGCACTCCAGCCTAGGTGACAGAGTAAGACTCTATCTCGAAAAAAAAAAAAAAAAGGAATCTTGTCACATCTACACTAGCCTATTCTAGGAGAGTGAAAACCAGACACACGGCCAAGTCCAAGAAGTGGATCTAAGGTGAGTCCAAACCCCTCCTGCTGACCCCTCTCCTCACCCTGCATGACTGTTCTCTAACATACCATTGGCTGCACCTCCCAGTGCCCTGATCCTCCTGAAGCTCCCCATGTCCAAGCACTATTTTTGAACCTGTTTTTCTGGCTCCATCTCAGCAAACCCACTGGAATATGATTGTGGATTTTCCTTCCAACTCCATGTGCGTCAGGTGGGAATTTCTGATTTTCCCCCACCCCAGTTGCCTTTTCCTGCAATCCTCCCTGCTAAAGATTGGGAATGGACTGACATGCCTCTCTATTTTGTGTTGTCTGGAGAGATTTGTCAGGTTATTGATGTTACTTTTTAATTCATTCCTTGAAAGTGATGGAGCTATGCTAAATTCAATTGATCAAGTTGCTTATTTTTCTGCCTTTTCTGGTAATTGAAAGTACTTAAGTTTAATAAAAATGCAATGTGGATTTTACAGAGGTAAGATAGTCGCTGTTCCAGCAGAACGTTTGCCCATTTTATTCGCTGCTCTATTCCCAGCAACTTAAAACAGTGGCAAAGAGTGGGTGCTCAATATATATTTATGTGGAAAAGAGATGGGGACTCATTTATCAGAAACAGAATGTAAACTAGTAAAACACTAACAACAATAAAGACAAGGATCCAGGGAATCACTTTACAGCAGAATTTGGTTGAATCGCATGAGTTCCTTTTGCCTCAAGCACTGACCATAGAGGGGTATCAAGTATTTTCTAATGAGTTTTGCTAATTTCAGGAGGTTACATGAAATTCTTAGCCAGTAATAAATAGATGAGAGAGGGAGAAAAAGAGAGAAAGGGAGGAAGGGAGGGAAGAAGGGTGGAAGAAAAAGATAGAAACAAAGAGAAAAGAGAAAGAGAGCAAGTTTGACCCAACATCTGAAAAAAGTAAAGGCAAAGAAACCTAAAGACATAACCCACCTTCACACTGGTCACCCAAATTTAAAACAACAATTTTAAATTTAAGAACAGTATGGTGGTTACATCCTAATTGTCTAGACTAGTGCTGTCCAATAGAAATGCAATGTAAGCCAGAAATGCGAGCCACATATGGATACTAAAATTTTCTGGTAGCCACATTAAACAAAGTAAAAATGTACCAAGTAAAAATTTAATTTATAAATTAAAAATTTACAGTAAATTAATTTTAATAATGTATTTTACTGAGCTTAACATACCCAAAATGTTGTAGGTTCAACATGTATTTAATTTTTAAAAATTATTAATGAGACATCTTATATCACTGTTTCTTGTACTGAGCCTTCAGTATCTGGTAAGTATTTACACTAGAGTCCCTTTCAATTTGGAAAAGCCACATGTGGCTACTGAATGAATGAGATTGTGCGGTCTAGAAGCAGGTGCACCCCTTCGTCAATTATGCACAAAAATCTTTTGACCCTGGACTTTCTTCCATTTAACACCAATACATTTTTCAACTCTCACCAAAATGGCTTAGCTATGCTGTCATGATGTAGCTTTACTTTTAGGTGAAGTAAACTCAGTGTTTCCACCATTACTACAGCACAATCGAGTTTGCTCAGTTGTGAGAACAGGAGACTGACCTAGATTATTTCTAAGGCCCATTCTCAACCTAAAATCTTATGATTATATCACAAACATAAAAGAAAAGCACTCTGTTTAAATAAAATATCATTATCATTAATTGTGGTATTCAGAAAGTAAATCTACTCCCAAAGTAACCAAAATGAAATACAATCTCAAGATAAATAATTTTGCTCTGAGTTCTCAGATTATCAATGGAATTTTATTCCCAGTAATAATGATAATAGAGAGTCATTTCTAGGAAACATTTATTGAATGCCATAATGCCATTCCATCTTCTACCCTTACCCGCTCTTCGCCTCCTCTAAACTATCCACTTAAGTACCAGAATCCTTTGACAAAATTAACATATCAGCCCATGAATTTTCTAAATGCAGCCTTTGCACAGAAGAATTAAGGAAGCTTACCAATTATTGTCAGGTAAAAGCCAGCCACTATATCCGCTTCCCAAGAAAGTTTGGAAGCAAAGGGATCCCCATCTCGAAGGTAATGTGGCAGGCGCTCATCCTGAGGCAGGGCAGTGTGATTTAACGCCATTCTGTTCTCGAACCAGGAGGAGTCTGAAAAGCAGACCAGAAGAGATCTCAACAGACACGAATAAGCCAGCTTGAACCATTTCATAATCGTGGCTCCTGTTTTAAAACAAAAAGCAAGTCCCCAGGGTCATGCATGATTCTCTAATTAATAACTGGTAAAAATGTTAACATTTTTTTTCAATGATCCAATTATGTCATTACTCAATTATTCAGTTGGCAGATTATCCAAACCTTCATTTACTCCTTTGGAAGAGTCATTCCTTTGGCATGATTATTACTATTTGTTTTGAAAGGGGAAGAAATACTAATGTGGCTGTTTCTCTTTTGAACTTGCATATTTCAAATCGAACCAGTAGATGTCACTGTTCAGCTCTCTAGGCAACAATTTCGGGCGTTGTATCAGGCAGCAAGTGGAACAGAGTTGTGTGCCTCACAGGTGGTGACAGAGTGATCGGCAGATATCTAACCATGTTATTCACCTTTGCAAAAGACATGAATTTAACCCCTTTCTAACTGCCAATTTACAGCTTACAGAGGAAGGCTAGTGACCCTATCAGTGGCCAGTTAGCTAAAACTACTGTCTCCTACACACAATTTGAGGACAGTCATGTGCTAATGTTCATTCCAAATCCTTCTCCCTGAGGTGGTCAGAAAGCTATAGGAGAAATCTTTGGCTGCCAGCTGCACCACATCCCAAGACCTACCCCAAGTCAAAGTTTGTCTTTACCTTTCAAACTCCTGATTCCCCTTTGACTGCCTCTTCTTCTGGTAAACTCTCTCCTCCCCAAAGATTCCTCCTGCCCAGCTGGCTGTCCAGTCCTGTCCTCCACCTTAGATTCAGAATCATAAGAGGAGGGTTGGAGTCCAACTCTGATACCCACTCTCTGATCTTGAGCAAATTATTTAAACTCTCTGAACTGCAACCACTTCATCTGTAAAATGGGCAGTCTCCTTACCCATCACTCAGGCTTATTGTAGGAGCAATAGGATATTGGATTCAAAAGCACATTATGAATAGGGGGTCCTGTTTATTTATTATATGCTGAGATGCTTACTGTTCCCAAACTTGCCCATCCATCAAGATATAGCTCTTGTATAACAGATTTCCTCAGGGTCCCATGCCGAATCAATATATGCTTGTGTGTTAACTCAAGTATTCACTGAACATCTACTATAAACCCAGCATTTTGAGGTAGGATAACAGAGGTTTACCGTGTTATCTAGACTTAGGGAGGGTATCTATCATTTTGGACAGAGAAAAGATACAACCAGTGGTCAGAAAATATAATAATAATACAAGAACATAAAACAATAAAATGCTGCTTTATTTGGCTTTAGACAATTGTTTTTGAGGTAGGGTCTCACACTGTTGCCCAGGCTGGAGTGCAGTGATGTGATCAGTGCTCACTACATCCTCGACCTCCTAGGCTCAGGTGATCCTCCCAACTTAGCCTCCCGACTAGCTAGGACCACAGTTGCATGCCACAATGCCTAGATGATGATGATGATGATGATGATGATGATGATGATGATGATGATTATTATTATTATTATTATTATTAGAGACGGTATCTCTCTATGGTGCCCAGGCTGTTCTCAAACTCCTGTCCTGGGCTCAAGGGCTCCTCCCACTTTGGCATCCCAAAGTTCTGGGATTACAAGTATGAGCCACTGTACCTGGCCTAGACAATAATTTTTAGAGCAAGGAAATAATCCTGTTTTCTGAGGAATTAACTAGATTGTGTGTATAATATCAAGAATTGTCCTTCCTATATCTAAAAGTATCCAGGCCTTGCACAGCCTAAGACTCGATATGTTAATAATGAAAATGATAACATAAAACTTCACTTGAGCCCCCAAGGGGCTTTAATAAGCAACAAAAACTGTAGAGAATATTTTCAGTAAGAAAATGACATGAGCTAAGATTTGGAGGAAAAAATGAACATAGAGTGTATGAGGGATGGAAGAAGAGTCATTCCATGGGAACAGAGTTCATGATGGTGGGAAATGGTAGCCATCGGGATCTTGCTCTGTAGAAACTTGCCTGCCTGGCATTAGAGTTGCTTTTAACATATCATATGTGGACTTATTTTTTTTTCTGACACTGATCAAAATTAATGCTATTAAGTTTGGAAATATAGTATTTGAGAGTGTTCCTAGTTCTTTTCAAAGACATAACTTAGACACAGCTCTTCCTGAGGAACAGTGAGAGAGGCAGAGAATCCTAAATACATGGTTATTTGGGAATTCTTTTCTTTTCCACTCTTCTTTGTGCATTACAAACTCAACTTGCAACTTCACACTTTACACATATTTTCCCCTATATGTAATTTGTGTTCCCTTTCTTCTCAGTCTATCCAAATTCCACTTGACCTTCAAGCTTTTATCCAAAGTCTACATCCTTCAGAATATAAAACTGGCTCCTTCAATCGCTACTAAAATACAACTAGGAGAAATTAATCCTGCTTAATTTCCTTAATTCTTCCTCTGGTTTACCTACACATCAGTGAAATAACTTTTAGTTCATAAAGAAATTAGAGGTACCAGTGCATAGTATGGGATCATTATCATTATTTTGTTGAGGTGCTATTTCATCATTGATACAGAATTACACTTTTTGCTGAAAACAGGCTATAGCAATGTAGCCATCATAAATATTTTTGCAGAACACTAACTGTACTACTTAAAATAATAAATGCAACACATAGTCATGACTGTATTTGTTCAGAGATATGTTTTAGAGAATTTCTTTTTCAGTGTTGAATGTGCCTGAATTACCTTTATCTGTATTGAATGTGCCTGAATTACCTCATTGTGTAAATAAAATAGAGTCATTTGTCAATTCCTTCCCTCTTTTACCTCCTGTATTTGAAGATTGCCTACCGCTTTCAGTAGATAGATGCTGTCCTATCTGCCTTCCCAGGTGGTCAGGACCCTCAACACCACATCCCCCAGTTCCCTGGGATGGCATCCTATGATCAAAGCAATGGTTCCAAATCAGCTGCATATCTGAATCTCTTATGTACTTATTTTTTATTTTTTGTATATAGTTATTGTTGTATTTTGTATTGTAGCTACTCTTTAGGTACTGTAGTCTGAGTACAACTTCCAGAGTCTATGATATCATTTCCAAGAGGATCAAATAGTACTCAGTTTGTCGAATTTTGTAACCATGGAAGCTTTCCTTTCTTGCACAATATTTCACGGCACTATTGTTGGGGAAACAACATATGGGGGTTGGAGGAAAGTATCCTGTTTAAAAGTGGAGGAGAAACTAAATGACTTGTCAAAATTTCTGCTGAATTTACGATTCTGTGAAAGATATAAATGAAATTTCTTGGAGTAAGTTGTATGTGATTATTCATGTTAGCATAATCCTTTAAGCCATAAAATATACTCCACTGCTCTCACATCTGCTAATCAATGGTCTTTTGGACCATGAATAAAGCTTCCTAAGACTGTTCTCATAACAGCTTATTACAGAAAAAGCTGAAAACATCCCCACTCTTCATCACCCATAAAAGTTTTTCATATCTTTTGAGTTACTAGAATCAGCCTTTTAAAATCCTCTATTATTCCACAATAAAAAAATTAAAGAATATCTTTAGATGTAGCCAGAAGTCCTCATGTCCAAACTGAAGGGACTTACAAAATAGGTATAAGCAGATATGGAAAAGAGAATGGCACAGGTTCCCCTCCTAACAGGAAATAAATACAAGTTTGTCCAATAAATACAAGGAACAGAGTCCAATTCTGTTAGACTCTATCTAGTCTTAACATTATCTTCAAAAAATATTTGGCAACAAATTTCTCATTGACCTGCTAAATTTTCCCTGGTTTAATGCAGGCAAGACCGAAAAGCATGGACAGTATGGAGAGCCACTTATGTAAAGTATTTGAAAGCATCCTGCCCAAAATGGTTTTCCCCGCTGGTCTGCTCTGGCTTCTGAAACTTTTGCCATTTTTTGCCTGAAGCATTATCACCAAGAAATTTCTTTCTAGAGATATATAATCTGAGAACATGAAATCTGAACCCACCAGAATCCATGAAAACTTCAACATAGTTTCTGACATTAGTTACTTGAAACCTAGTAGAAGCCAACAGACCTCAAAATAGGTGTGAGATGGTGCAGAGGAGTCAGTTGGAAAAAAACATCGAAGACCAGGAAATGTCCAGGAAGCTAACAAAGAAACAATCACAAACTAGAGAAAAGATGTCCAAGAAAGATAAACAGTTAATATTCAGTATCTAGAGGTAAAATGTGCTCAGTGTTAAGCCTGATAAAATGTAAGTAAGGAAACATAATTACTAAAAATTTAGAAATCCTTTAGCTGGTTTACATAGGTCTTTATCAAGTGGGTGATTGTTCATTTCTACTACTGTCTAAAAGGATTACCCACAATAAACCTACAGGAAAAAGAGTTTGTGGTCAGATTCATTTTTATACCAACTTCAGAAATTTGTGCCAGCCCCTAGGTTGGTGTCTGATGACAAGGACCAACTATTCAGTACTAAGCTTCTTTCACTCAACCCCAGTGAGTCAGCTGGCATGGGCCATGATTGTGTGCAGGGATGACCACACTGAAGACCAGTCAGTTTTCCTCTGACTCCTTCTGCATGCTAGCCTCTCTCCTGTCTCTATCGACCTTAAGATTTGACCTCCCCATTTGAGCACCACAGTGGTTTCAAGCATCTCACCTTCCCTTTCCCATCAAACTGTTCTCTTAAAAAATGGAATTGATAAATCTCATTGACATGGTACGATATTCATAATACACTTTGCGGAAAAGCACTAGTTATCAAAGAGTTATGAAGCATTTTTAAGCGAGAAAAACCATAGAGGAAGATACCTAGAAATATACATGCCAAAGGGTTAAAATATATTTTTATCATGTATAGTGTTAGCATGGTTATGATGTATAATGATGTTAGGAGTAATTCTTTCTTTACTTTTCATTTGGAGAGTGAGGATACTTGGTAATAAAGGCACTTTTGAAATTGTTTAAAAATGGCATATTACTT